GTCCTTTGCGGTCAACGGGATCAGTGAGTTGTCGGAAAAACATTTCTAAGATTGCTGATAGAAACCGAAGCTCCATTGTTTATAAAATACCTTAGAAAAACTGTTTCATTATTATATTGGGATTTATCTTTTGATTAAGCACTCCAAATGTTTGAAGACTCTCCTCCGTCGAATAGTCATGTTAGGAAAGAAAAAGCTTCCTCGCCTCGAGCGCCTTACTTCATTAAAATTTGCATGGTAAACTTCGAATTTCAATTGCTGAAAATATTCTTTAAGGTGTAGTTCTAGTAGTACGATCTCGAGGCAATCTAGCCGAGTTGGACAAAGGAGTCGGCAAATGTCGTGGTATTCAACAGGAGCACTCCGGGAGCGACATATTGGCAAAAATGTTTATTTACAGCACAGAAAAGAACAAGGACCAGGGCTCTGGGAGGCGGAATGCAACCCCAAAATCCGCCACCCAAGAAAACCAGAATCCAGTGAACGCAGCCAGACGCATATTGTCATTGTCAGGAGAGACAGACGCAGACAACGTCGAACAATTCGAGCAATTTCACTTGAAAAATTTGCGACGTTTAGCGCGCGATTGCCACAAATCAAAGCGACATTACCCAGCGTACTCCTCCAACCCAAAACCTCTCTCCTACCCCACTCCGTTTTTCAGCAGCAAGCTATTTAAGATAAATAAAAAATCGCAAGAAATCCCAGAAGCAATGGAAGCAACATATGCCCGCCAAATCAAAAGCAGACAAAACAAACAAAGACCAAAGGACAGACAGTTGAACGCAGTGAGAGTGAGACAAAGACCAAGAAGGACGAAGTCGGCGACGAAGACAAAGACGCAGACAAGTCGCAGCCGAAAATGCTTCAACTAAAACGAAAAAAAAAGAGCCCAAATCTTTTTCAGAGAAAGGAAAAGTTTAAGAAGGGGGAGGGATGCTAAAGCTGCTTGGCCTAGAGATGATACACAGACCGATAAACGATAGAAAAAGTCAAAAAATTTAACGATTGTCTAGATAACTTAAATAGGTTAAGCTTAAGAATTGTTTACTGGATTTATAGTTTAAGATCTGAAAAATTATATACTTTTTTACGAGACTTAAAAAGCAAAATCTGCATTGATTGCGCGATTGACAGAGTAAGAGTTTAATTTCTTAAAAAACTGAAGTAGGTATATAAGGCATTAATACACCGAAAGACATTTTAAAATTGATGCGACTGAAAATATAATTAAAATTAGGTAATAAACAAATGACAATATATACATATATATATATATTTCAATTTAAAAAAAAATGTCTTTTAAAGTCCGTGGATGAATTGGTAAAAAACTAATCGCGTGACACGAAGCTACGCACTCAACTCGATTTTAAGGGGAAAGGGAGGCACCTGGGACCGAGGCGGTGGTCGAGAATAGAGCAGGAGGAGCGGTGTTTTTCCCGTCTGCAGCTGTCGGCAAACGGGACGAATGTCGATAGCTGCCTTACTTCTTCGGTGCGTAAACGTAGACATAGCAGACGACAGTATTCCACTTCCACTCCTAGTAATTTTTGTGGTACGGAGTAGGAGAGCGGAGACTTTTACCAGACGACAGCCACGAAATGATTGCCCTTCTGTTCCGGTCTCCAGCCCCCTGCAAAAATTTACGCGTCTCTGAACTTTGACCCTCAGACGATGCTGTTGCTTGCTCTGCGACTATGACTGTGACCTTTGCGCGTCCCTCCCCGTTGCCGCCCACCTCGCACATCAAATTTTATGGCGCCTGTTTTGTTGCTGGCTTTGTTTGGAAGTTTTTTATGCGAAATTAATTTAGAAAACTTTTCTCGGAACTGAAACAACAAAGGAACGATACGCAATTCACGTTTCTGGGGTTAGTATGGGGTTAGTATTTGCTTTAGAGAAAGGGTTCCTAAAGGTCAAAGTTCACAAGCAGCGTGTACAAGGCCAAAGCACACAAAAAAAAATATACTGATAACCTTGTATATATATTTCTCGATGTCTAGAGCCAATTTTTTATTGCCAACAGCTCAATGCGATCCTTACTCAAGTCCTAAACCCGCCTTTTGATAGTAAACTTCGTAGTAAAAACTTGCATCTCCCTTGACGGGTAACGAACATAAATATTTATGGTCAAGATCTTCGTTTTTAGGCCTCTAACGCTCATATGACGCTCGCATTCCATGCATGTTTTGAGTCGACTATACTTTGGTGATGCTAAGGAAGAACTTTGGACTTGTTTATTTCGCTTATTAACTCATCTGCTCCACGGTCTTTCCTCGTGGGTTAACAACCTTCTTAGTCATGCCTTTGCAGTGTGATCCACCAGCGAATGTCTGGAATTCCCTCATTTGACGACCGCGCACCACAACAATCTCTCCTATTTCCCTCGAAAATCCCATCCCCACCCAATCTGACCGCATCCTGATCGCAATAAAAAGGTGGCATTTGTTAGATATAAAACCATCAACACGAGACGCGATTATTCACCTTCTTCTGCGCCCTGTCGTGGAAGATTCTTCTGGTGGTGCATCGAACTCTAATTCTACGGGCCCTCTGCCTGTCTCCCTCTCCTTCTAGGTCCTATACCCGTTTCACTTGCACCCTAACGTCGGGCATATGTATCGCAAAAGAGCAACAATAATTACGCTTCAGCTAGATCCGAGTCCGCGAAGAATTCTTCTGCTTCTTCGCGTTCTTTTTTCGCACATGTTTTGGCGGTCGGCGGAAAGAGATGGCGCTAGGGGTTGGGACGGAGACGGGGCGACTGGGAACGTGGGAAGGCGCACAGGCGCATAAAAAAAACCCCAAGCCGCAGACAGTGCAAAAACAACAACAAGCTAGAGACTGGATGCGGGGGGCGAAGAGCTAGGAACAGAAGACCTAAAGCAGAAGTCCAAATACAGAACCAAGTGGAAAATGGAATGTAATCGAATCGAAGCGCAGTTAAATGAAATTTGCTCACTGCGCCGCGTGTTTATGTGTGTTTGTTTTTGTGTCTGGGCAACAACACACACACTCATAAACAATGATGAACGGGGTGAATGGACGCAAGGTGACGTCGCAGTCGACGCCACTGCTTCTTCCTTTGACTTGGCAAATTTGCGCGCCAAAACATTTCCAATTTTTGCTACCCTTTTTAAAGCGCAGGTGCATTTGATTTACACTCCAGGTTTCGACCGAACAGTGCAAATCCAAATTATTTTTATTAACAGGTTTAACAAGTAGTTAATTAATTAACTTCTAATTCAGTTACTATTAACTACTAGTAAAGACAGTTCCAAAAACCAAATTTTTTGATGGAAATCTGTTATTTGCAGTACATTGACTTTCCTTAAAATACTACAATTTTACAAGGAATTTGTTCAAAACAATTTTACGCGCCAAAAGCGTTCCCGCCTTGACTTTATGTTTTGATGTTGACCAGACTACACACCACATATACCATTATACCATAATCAAGAGAAGAGCGGAAAAGAGAGCCCCAAAAAGCCACTTGGCCATGGATGATGCGCCACAATGGGCGTGGCACTCGGCGGAGCGTCAGGGAGCGAGAATCGAGAGTCAAGAGTCGAGGAACAGAAACAGGAGCAGAGAAACAATCTAGAGAAGTTTTGGTTTCGGCTTTGGTTCAATTCAGTTCATTTCGTTTCGTTTCACCTCTGCTGCCGTCGTCTCGCTTGCTCCCCTTTTCGGTATTTGTCTTTGACTGTTTTGCTTTGATCCCCTTATTCTGTCTGGGGCATATTCGTTTTGTTTTTGCGCTCATTGCCATTGCACAGCTTTTCGCCCGCCATTCGCTGTTCCCTTTTCCCGTGTTCCATACACTGAAACAAAATATTTTCGTTTTTCAATATTTATAGAAATGTGTAAGCTATTTAATTTTAATATTAGCAAATCAAAACTAGTTTTATTAGGCAAAAAATAAACACAACTAATGGTGCTCTGTGTAACAGAAATTGCTCGTTGTTACCAAAGCTTGTCTAGTACAGCCTTTTAAATTATTTTGAGTGGAAGTTTTTATGTTAAGCTTCCTCTTTTCTTTCCTGAAATTGTCACTACTTTTTAACATCAGAGAGAATCTTAAATTGGTATTTTTTAAAATGTTTGAAACCAGCAAATTAAAATATTTATTAACCGAAAACAAATTCGGCCAGCATGGGTAATCTCACGTGGAAAACTCTCACGTTAAGCTGTTTTTTTTAACCTGTACCCCCGTTCCCAAAAAATTCTTGCGTTCCCTGCCCTTTTCCTCTGTTCCACGCTTCATGTAATGGCTCATCGTTCTCGTCATTCCCGTTGTCGTTTGTTGGCTTTGTTTACAAGCATTTGATGGACCACTAACACCGCACTTTCTGAGGCAAAATTACAGATACACAAGCGCACACAGACACTAATACTGAGACCCAGAATGCGCGGGATTTTCTTTCAGTTTTCCCTTTTTGCCCTGGTGCGAATTATGAGGGAGCCCCGAGAGGGAGAAAGAAAAACAAATGGCGAGGAAATTGTTATTCTCTTTGCTGGTTGTCATTCACCCACTCCCATCTTAGTCAATTCCATTACCATTGGGTTGGTTTCTTTATTTTTTTATTAGTTGTACTTTATTGAATTCGCCGATTGAATGAATTGCTCAATGAGCTGCCCGCCGAAGACGTGCGGATGATGAGCAGCAAATTGATGGGGGATTGCCACGCTTTTTCCTGCCATTTTGCCAGAACCCTCGAACTCTTATCCCCCTTTTCGAGTGCAAAGTGTCGTGGAAATGGGGCGTGAGTGGTGCCCAGAGTGGCGTAGAAGAAATGCCAAATTGATGGCATTTAGTTGGTGTACCAACATGGCACTAGAGTTAGTTGGGGTTAACTCGAGCACTTTATTTGGGGTATCCCAAATGACGTTTAGCAAGCTGATTGTTTAAGAAACAGTTTACTATATTATTACATCTTTTGTAGTCATTATTGAACTTTAAACATTTTAACAGTTGTGATAAGAAATAAGATAACAGATTTAGGTTAAAAATGTGTTAGTTTTTTATTGCTTAAAGTCCAAAAACTTTTAAAACCCAGACTTTTTTCAGTACCCCGAAAAGTCTTTACTATCCCAAACAAAGTAGCCTAAATTTACGAACAGCACAGACCATCATCTGAATCTGAACTAGAGTCTGAGAAGCAACATCCTTGACATGATTCATCTTCCGAGGGGGTTGGGCATGTACCTGAAAAGGTCGACTGAAGGGCAGTGAAGAAGTAACTTTGCTCCACATCTGTAAGCTCCATTTCAATATCTCTGTACTGCCTGGGAGATCCAAAGTTCTGCAGTTGAATAGCTCGATTGACCAGGCTCCTCAAATGGATGTCCCCTTGATCCTGACAGGCCCTCAGTCGCTTGTACTCCTGCTTGTCCTCGTAGGTCTTGCATTTTTTGTACATCAATTGACAAGACTTTGCTTTCAGCTCTTGTATGACCAAGTTCTGGGTGTCGATCTCCTTGATCACCTCTAGATATTCCTGGTCCAAAAGTTCGAAGAGATCCTTTTCTTCTTCAGACTCCTGTTCTTCCTCAACCTGCTCCTCGTCACCATCTTCGCCTTCTCCTTTAAGATCCTCTTCAGCTTCATTTCCATTATTTTGGTCATCTACTGTCTCTGAAGGAGCTTCCTCTTCCTCCACATCAGCCATTAGAGGGTTAATAATATTATTTGAACTTAAAAGTTCAAAAACTACATAGTCGAAAACCAATTTTGACGTAAAACTCAGAGAATAGTAGCTTGTTTGGTAATAACTAAACAATTTTTGTTATCTCTATAAATACCAATAATACCAGACTGTTTTGAGTTTACTAAAATTAATTTTCAGCACAGTGACGTCAAGATTATCTCATTATTATCTCAATAATTAAGTTTATAATTTAACTATCAAAAGTACTGATTTTTGACGACCAAATTGTAAAACTAAACCCGTCTTGAACCATTTCAACCTGTATTACTACCGGCAGTCAAAGCGCAGTTTCGATGTTCCACACAACATCTTCTCTAGCACGCCATTTTCTCTAGCCCTTAATGCACGCATTTCCGTTTCCCCTATCGCTCGTCCCTTTTTTTGTTCTTTTGCCATCATGAATTTTATGTTTTATTGCAGCTGTTGCGCTGTCAACGCCCCTTCCTCTGCCCTTCGCCTCGCTGATTCACGCTTTTATTGGCACAGTGATTTCTGGTGGCTGAATCCGGCGGATTACGCTTCAAGGCGCACCACTCGCCCGCTCCTTGGCACTCGCATTAATCATAAAAATGCTATGCCCCAACTACAGAATGCAGTTTAATTTGGCATGAAGTGCAGTTCGCGGCGGGGTCGCCTCATCGTTCTATCGGTAGTTAAGCGGTTTATAACCGATAACAACCTGTAAGCCAGGGCGCGCATTTGATGACTGGACCCAACGACACAAGTTGCTGCTTTTATGGCGTCATATTTTTATGGCCGCAACCATTGTGATGACATCAAACTGGTGCATGGAATGGCATAATGGATGGTTAGATCTGCATGAAATGTATGCAGAATGTGGCTACAAAGATGTCGGCTTTTTTCTTGTATGGTAAGCGAACAATGTATTGCCAAGAAATGCAAATAAAAGACTGTGCGACCATTAAATTATTTCATGAGACTTAATTGTTTTTTGTGCATTAATGTAAGGCCTTAATCGGAAAGAATATAAGTTTAAGAATGAAGCGCTTCATACTTTCCCTAAGCAAATGAATGAATTCTAAGGTCGGTAATAAAATAACGCTTGTTTTGTGTATTGTGTTTTTCTGGGCTTAAGAAAATTCCCTTCAACCTATGTTTAAATGTGTCTAAAAATATAATTCTTAATGAATAAACTTTATCAAAGCTTTAACGATTCTTCCCCTTCCACTTAAGCGCGATTTGAAGTGTGTTTGTGATTTTGCTGGTTAACCTTCCGTTTTTGGTATATTTTTGGCATAATTCTCGCAGCCATTTACTTCTCGCGTCCCTGAAAATGGCAGTTGGATTAGCAGCCAGCACACACATACACACACACAAGGCCATGACACAAATTTCCGACCCTTGTTATTCTGGCCATGGACGAAGTCGAGGGGACTGAGCATCATTAGCCCCTGGGCTTCTTCCGCCTTATCACAGTTGAATGCTCTTCGATTCGCTTCATGTCAGATTACGCATACGACACGTTAAACGCTTAAAGACAGTGCCGTCCATTGTAAATCAAATAAAAGACACAATTTCATTTACAAAGTTCAGAACAAACATAGGCCCCGCTTCTATCGTGGCACACACACAAGCTTTTAATTTTTTCCCGGGCTTTTCTTTCTTTTTCCTAAATCCCTTTTAGTCTGTGTGCAAGTTGCATACAAGTTTTTTCCGTTCAGTCTTTTGTTTTCTTTTGTCTTGCATTTTTTATCTGTGCTATTGTTGCAACGGAGAAGGGGCTGTTTTTTGTTTATGCCTCTACTGCATAAAATGATTTCATTAAAAAAGTTGTAAACTTTTTCATTTAATTTAACTGCAGCAAACAACATCTTTTGTGCACCCTTTCTTCTTCTGCACTTTTCTTTGCTTTCTGTTCCGCCTGCCTTTTTTCACTGGCAACTATATTTTCAGTTAGCATCTGCTGCCAGGATTCAGGCCCATACTCATTCTGCCCGCATCCCCTGCAAACCCTGATTATTTTTTGGATAGGTTTCAATTAAACTTTTCCATTTCAGTTCATTCTGAATTTTACAATCTGCTCATCCAAGACTTTCTCAGCAGGTTGTGACCAATACAAGCCAAGAGAAAATCGGGATTTGTGACAAAGAGGACTTGCTCAGTTCATTCTGAATTTTACAATCTGCTCATCCAAGACTTTCTCAGCAGGTTGTGACCAATACAAGCCAAGAGAAAATCGGGATTTGTGACAAAGAGGACTTGCTAAGGACCTCTCATGAATGCAACTGCATTTTCAACTTTTGACCAAATCCTTGTTATTGTATCTTGATTAACAAAGCGGACTAACTGATGAATAATCCGCGAGGACTAGACGAAGTATAGAGAAATATTGTAAAATAAAACTGGTTATACCCTTGCAGAGGGTATTATAATTTCAGTCAGAAGTTTGCAACGCAGTGAAGGAGACGTTTCCGACCCTATAAAGTATATATATTCTTGATCAGCATCACTAGAAGAGTCGATCTAGCCATGTCCGTCTGTCCGTCCGTCTGTCCGTCTGTCCGTCTGTCCGTCTGTCCGTCTGTCCGTCCGTTTATATGCAAACTAGTCTCTCAGTTTTAAAGCTATCTGCATGAAACTTTCCCAAAAGTTGTCTTTCTATTGCAGGTAGTATATAAGTCGGAACGAGCCGGATCGGACGACTATAGCATATAGCTCCCATAGGAACAATCGGAAAAATAATTGAAAAAAAATTATAACTTTGGTGTTTTTTAATTTTTTGTTTAGTTCTTCGACATATAGCAATGGTTAAATATTTCAGAATTATGGTTTAAATTTCATCAAAATCAGACGACTATAGCATATAGCTCCCATAGGAACAATCGGAAAAATAATTGAAAAAAAATTATAACTTTGCTGTTTTTTAATTTTTTGTTTTGTTCTTCGACATATAGCAATGGTTAAATATTTCAGAATTATGGTTAAAATTTCATCAAAATCGGAGGACTATAGCATATAGCTCCCATAGGAACAATCAGAAAAATAATTTAAAAAAAATTATAACTTTGCTGTTTTTTAATTTTTTGTTTTGTTCTTCGACATATAGCAATGGTTAAATATTTCAGAATTATGGTTTAAATTTCATCAAAATCGGACGCCTATATCATATAGCTCCCATACAATCAAATAATAAAGCTGCAAATCGTCATAGCTTCAATGTTTTTAAACATATACGCAAGTAAATCATAATTTTAATGTTTTCAAAAATATTTAATTCTTGCGATAGCTGCAAGGGTATATGAACTTCGGCTTGCCGAAGTTTGCTTTCTTTCTTGTTAAAATTATAATTGTTTTTAACATCCCATAGCTTTAAAGCGACCCAAAGTAAATGTTCCTTTTGCCTTTCCTAATTTTACGTACATCTGATAATTTTCTCATCTTATTCCCATAATTTTTCATGCCCCCACACCCTTGGGTATTTGAGGTCTCGACTCCAACGGAGCTTGACTTCCTTTTTGTTTTTCTTTTTAATCATCCAACATTCGCAGAACATAATTCAATTAGGGCCACAATAGATGGTTCATGTGTGGGTGTGAGGGCGTGCTGGGACCACCCCCTCCCCGGGCGGGTCCTCATCATGTGGCACGACAACATGTCGTATTAGTAATATTTAAACACAAAAGCTCAGCAAATGTTGACATGCGTTGCCATTAGACGGACGCAGCGATGCATTCTGACACGCACAAGGAATGACTACGAGAGGGCGGGTGCGGAAAAGTAGGCGGGGCAGACCTAAAAGGAAATTCAATTTTCGCAAAAAGGTTGAGAGAAAAAAAAAAACAAAGACGTACGAACACCAATAACAACAACAGTAATAAGCTGCTTAGGAGCTAGCGATGCGAAAGTGAAGAAATGCGTTGTAATTCCACATGATGAGCTGGTGGTTGGCCCACCCCCCGCGCGAGGGGTTTCTCGTGAGAGGGGAAGGCATTAAGCCACTGTGTAGGTTGCATGTCAGGGAATGCGGTTGCATGTACCACGAGAAAGACTTCTCATCTCCAGGGGCGACACTCCCGCGCTTGAAAAAACGCCATGCAACTACTCCACTCGCAAAAAAAGATTACCATTTTTAACTGAAAAGTTAAAACTATGTTTTGGTAAAATAAGTTTTGAGCACGGAATTCGGTTGGCCTTTGATATGGTTTTGGTAAGATTATTTTTTTGGAAATTGATTTAAATTTTTGTTTAATTTATCCTTTTTTTGTGAAAATTGTGCTTTTATGAAAACTAAATTTTCTAATTTGTACAAATGCTTTTCCGAGTGCTAAAGAGTGTGCTGTGTGTCATGTTGACAGCGTGGAAATGTCACTCATGCGGCATCGTAATGAGTTTTGCCAACGTCAGCGACATTGCAACAAATTCAGCAACAACAGGAATCCCTTAGTAAGTTGTAACTTTGGTGGCCAAGAGAAACGAGCGGGAGAAAATCCTTCATTACATTGTTTTCCCAAAAAGCCAGAGGAAATCATTGGAATATTGAATAGCTTTCCTTTGTTAGAGGGTCGCATTAACAACGGAAAATCAAGAGAATTTAAACTGCGAAGAAAGTACAACGTATGAGAAAACGAAAAAAGTTATATTTAACTTTAACATATATGTAATTGTTTTCTTATCTTTTGTATCTTAGTTTTATATGTACAGAACTTTTGCAGTTATAACATTAAAAAGCTTTTTTTTTCTTAAGGGATTAAACATATAAAGGCGTTACTCAATTTCGTGTCATTTTATTATACACATTTTGTAGTATTCAAAAATATCACGTTTTCCCCGAAACATTAAGAATATATAATATTCCTTCGCTAGAGAAGGAAAGGATAGGGAGCGTTGGCCATACCATGACTGAGAGACAAAAGCCAAAAAAAATCCCACAAGAGTATAAGAAGAGGATAAATTTGCTGTTGGCCATCAAAAAGTGTTTTGTAAGAGTGGGGGTGGGGTTTTTTTTTACCACCGCCCACCTAAACAATGAGCCTAACCAGCCCTTCAGCCACCCACACATATAGTACACAGCA